GTGGCCTGCTTTCCACGCGGCCATTTGTGAACTAACTCGGAGGTTGACTGGGACTACAACTCGACTCAATGGCCAGCACAACCACACTCACCCCTCTGACGCAAATCGCCTGGGCTCAAGACAAACCATCACTGCGCATCCCGTAAAGCATCTATACCTACCTGAAACTATATACAGGACCACTGGCGGTCGATCGCCCGACCATGTAGATCTTGCCAACGCTGTGGCGACATTGAGAAGAACTCAACAAAATGCTGGTCCAATAAGCAGATCGCGGCAATGGCTCGGTGCCAATACTACAACCGACTGTGTAGTTATGGGCAAACCACCAGCCTCAAATCGGGACAAAACCAGACACGACAGTTTCAACCGCTGCTTCGAGCCTACACCAATCCGGCTCTGTGTTATGATTTTAACGATCGACTACCACACCGATGGCTATTTCTGCCCTGTCTGTCCCAGTGGCCACAAATTCACCACCATCCATTTTTACTGCATCAAACACAAGTAGTAAGGTTAAACGCAGTAAAACGGTTGCGACAGCCGAATCTGTGTGAAGTGTCCTCCAGGATTGTACAAACTTTACTTCTGAATCTCACAGTAAAAGTACAGCGGTAGTCTATCGGTCACATGTGACAGAGAAAATCGAGGCTATGGAAGCTAGTAGATTTTTATGAATATATACACCATACTCATTTCTGCTGGCAAGCTCTCACTTGTTACATCGTGCCATGGGCTAACTAGTTGTGAGTCAGGTTTCATATCTTTCATATATTGTAAAGACTACTGATCACATGCTACTTCAAAGTTAGTACCGTATAGATAGTCTTTGAAGTGTTGTAGAGCAGTAACTATGCCTAGTAGTTCTTGTTTCACTGTAGGATACGCTCGTTAACTCTTACTCAAACTCTTTGAGTAGAGCATGACATATCGTGGTTTACCTTCAACCATTTGGTATAAGACTCCGCCTACCACCATATTAGATGCATCGGTAGCTACTTGGAATGGATTCACTGGACACTCCATGGCAGATGCTTCCTTCACTTTCTGTTTTAGAAGCTTAAATGCGTCATCGCATTCTTTTGTCCATAGCTCGCCCAATTTGCCTTTATGACATCTTAGATTGGAAAAAGGTTTCATATATCTATCCCTTTATCGGATATTAAGTAGCCTAACAATTCTATTCTGTTTACTGCAAATTGACACTTCTTTATATATACTTTAAACCGCGCCTTGTTGAGTCGGTCAAGTACTATCTTCGTTATGTGTTTATGTTCTGCAGCGGTATTCGTATATATGACTATATCGTCAGTATATACTTGTACACAATCCGTTAAATCTGCGAACAGTTACATCATAACTTGTTGAAAGAACGAGGGTAGCATATGTAATCCAAAAAGGTGCCCCTGTCTGAAGTGATACTTCACCACACTCCACTGAAAGCTAAAATACTTTCTGTGTTCTTAATATATTTTCATCTGGTGATAATATTGCGTTAAATCTATCTTTGAGAAGAATTTAGCTCCGTCTAGCTTTCTTAACAGTTCTTAATACGTAGTAAGTGAAAACTGTGTGTTGGAATTATTTTGTTTAATGCTGACATGTCCAAACACACTCTACATTTACGCAAAGACTCGTCTGAATTATATTGGTCCACCGCTAACAGTGGTACGTTAACCGGTATTGGTGCATAACTGACCTCTATGACCCCGTCTTCGAGCCATTGTTTCGCCTGGGCAGTAACCCGCTCGTTATGTTTTCTAGAAACATAATTTGTTGTTGGACACTTCAATTTTGTAAAATCTGCTTGCTCTAAGTTCAGACTTACGTATCCTTTATTGAATTTAAATATAGCCCAGTCTGTTATTTTCAGATGTCTATTCTGCACCAACAATTACATTAATGTATCCATTATGCCCGGAAATAGTGTCTTCACTTTATTTGAAGGTGCTTCTGGAGTATAGAATGTTTTTATCAGGTTCAATATTATTTGGTAGTCCTGATTTCACTATACCTAGTGGCAACAAGTCTGACATTCCTAGTATGATGTCGTACTGCGGGCTCATTTCAAGTATTACCGCTTCTGTCTTAATTTGTCGATAGTCAGCTAAGACTACTGTAAGGTCTTTTGCTAGTTGCGTACAAGAAATTTCTTCTAGATTTGCTACTACTACCGTGGATATTATCCCTACCGTGGAGTCGAACTTTTTAGTTTCTCTGTCTGTAATTAATGTATGTCGTGTGCTCATATCAGTAGTCTGTGCACCGGGATCAACTAACGCGTTAACCTTTATCCCATTTAAATATACAGGGAGTATGACTCTTTCGTCTTTCTCCGGTTCTATACGGCCTATAGTAGACATCATGTACCGTCAACATTTCTTCTCGGCAGGTACTGTGTCGAAAGTCTTAGCGGACTTACAATCATTTTGATGATGTCCTCCGGTACTCTTGCATTCCTTGCAGTCCTTGCGAAGAGGGCATTTTTCAGTGTGTAGGCAACTGTATTCCCCACTCGCTATTTGATGGATCACTTTCCTGGAGTCGGCGTTGGCGCAACGCAACTGGTGAAGGAAGTCTTGTCCCCGTTCTTGCTGTCCCTTTTGTTTTGATTATTGTCCTATTTTTCCTGGTTTTGGTTGTGACGCTTCTGTCCACGGCCTCCTCTAGAATTATCTGCTCCTTTAGGGATAATATTATTCATTTCAACAAAACAAAAAAGATAAGTTACAATGTATGTATGTTATAATGTACGAACAAATGGTATGGCTCTCATAACCGTTGTGGTGGTTCGGGAAAGATCGATGGGAAGAAGTGGTCAGTAAATTCCCGTTTGAAGCTTGGGCCAAGTGAGTCGACGATGGAGAATATGCGCTGAGTCAATTCGGGCCGGTGCGGACAAAACACTGATACCATCGAATGTGCAATGTATTCGCTTGCTGACCTACTAAGTAGCGTACCCACCTCTGTGATACGGATCGGGTCTACGCCGTGTAGTGCCGTGGAATGGGTTGGTGCAGGTGCGAAATACCGAGTAGGACCAGATTATCAGTCATAATTCGGTCGAGGAGCGAGGATGGGGGTGAGTCAATGCCGCACCAGACCACGGATGCATTCGGTATGTGCTGGCTGGCCTGGATCGGAAGTATCATAGGCGGGACCAACAAGCGCGATAATTTGGTTTGAACCGAAATTTGGAAGTAGTACTTCAAGAGCGTGATTAGCCGGGGTATGGGGAACATCTGTTGATGTGTCAGAGACGGGTGAGGGTACGGTGGTTCTTCTACATGCTGAAGAAAAGATCCAAGGTGTTCGTGGAGGGTTCAGATACCGTGGAAGTCGAGGCACTCCTGTAATTGCTGGAGGAGGTCAGGGCCAATGGGGCAGTTTCGGGCTTACCAGGATGCGTCGAATCAGTTGTTGGATGCAGGTAAAGTGGCTGGTGGTGAACTTGTGGTTACCCGGGCAGGCAGGGCAGAGACAGCCGTCGGTGCGGTAGTCGAGCAATGTGAACATGTACGTATTCGTTACAATCATAGCACAGAGCCGGATTGGTGTAGACTCGAGGCAGCCGTTGAAGCTGTCGTGTCTGGCTTTGTTTCGGTTCGAGGTTAGCGGCTTACATAACTAGTTGGTAGTAGTATTGGCGCCGGGCCATTGCCACGATCTCCTTGTTGGACCAGCGTTTTGTTGAGTTCTTCCTGATGTCGTCACAGTGTTGGCGGAGGGCTACATGGTCGGGTGTACGCCCGCGTGGTGTTGTGTACAGTTTTCAGGTGAGCATAAATACTGTACGGGAGGCGCATTGATGGTTTGTCGCGGGCCCAGGCGGGTTGCGACAGAGAGGTGAGTGGATTTCTGCTGGCCATTGAGTCGAGTTGTATTCCCAGGCAACCTCCGAGGTAGTTCGCGAATGGTCGCGCGGGGAGCAGGCCACAAAAGTGGAGTAAGTTTGTTTGATGTTTGGGAAACCGAGGGTATTTAGTGCCAGTGATGATGGCTGCTGCTTGGATGAGTGCTGAGTTAAAGCGCTCGAACAGGGGGTCCAACGCATCCTTCCATATAGGTGGAGCCGAGGCAATAATGTTCAGGCCATATGTAGCCGTGGATAGGATGAATGTTTTGAACAGCACCAGTCGGTTGCGGGGGTGTCGCCAGCTGAAGCCATGGAAGCCATAAGGGCGGAAAGAGACGATACCCAGAGACAATGCTGCAACCAGGGATTTCATATGTCTGGCGAGGTTGATCCCTGGTATTCCGTGAGAGAGTGGGAACCCCAGATATTTGAAGTGTTTCGGTTTGGCATGTGTGGGCGCCATCCTCAGGGGGAGAGGGTCCCAGAATTTTTTTGTGCGACTACTCGTTTGTGGGAGTAGTGCTCAGTGTAAATGTGACGCTCAATTACTGTCGTCACACAACTAAAATATTGGGCCCAAGTGACGTCAGTCAATAATACTCTGTCATTTGGGGGAGCAATATCTCGGGTCAATCTGGACTTACTTTGAGTGTTGAGTTGAGTCTACACACGTTTCTGGTCATCAGGCTTCAGGTGATGATGTGTGGCGACTATAATCAACAAGTCCAAACTGATATAGTCACTATCCGTTCCTGCCTTGAACTTATGTAACATATCCTGTACCTTTGCATAGTTATGTACGGTAGTACTAGGTGCCGGTTCAGCAATCAACATGTCAAGAAATGGGGGTACTGGTGTCAGGCAAGCCACTATCACTACTGCGTCTGCCCATACATTCCAGTCCTTTGTAGCCAATTCCCAAAGGTATTCCTTGTTTATGTTGAGGCGCTTGTATGCGTCAGACTTCGGATTTATGGATATTAGCAACACGTCTGTATACGCTGCCTGCTTGTAGCGACTGTTTAACCATAAGTCATGTGCGGTCTTGAGGTCGTCGAGGGCATTACTAGTACTCGTCCAGTCGATTAAATCTTTCCCGCCGTCCTTAGACTCAGTCGTAATCTTCTCTAGTTTGGTGTGCATTGGCGCCTCGTCGTTTTTTCGAACTCTTACAAATTCGTCGTAATGCGCCTGATACTTCTTAAGCGCTTCTTGAGCTATCTTATAGTCGCTCTCGTATTGGTTAGGTGTTCTTACTGCCTCTTCAGAACTGTCTATTGCGAGTGTCATTCTATACTTGTGTATGGCTGAAGTATAGTATGTATACAAGTCCACAGCCTTCTTACAATCGTCTTCGATCTCGAACTTATAGTCCGAAGCCAATACGGTGTCACGATATTTCCAATACCGTTTCTCGTGCGACAGCTTAGCTATAGGTTTTTGTAACTTCATCTTATCTAGTTAGTTTTACCTCAAGAGCTACGTCTAGGTCAGACATAGAATAGATAGATAGAGTACATCTCTAAAAGGTGAGTAATGGGGTAGTACAAAAGTGGGTGAAGACAGATAGTCGGTGTCAGTATTAAAGAGGCCCCAAATAGCCCAACACCTTCTTAACACACCACTAGAGGCACACTAATACAATTTTACAGCTCAAGTGAATTGAAATTCACAAAGCAAATATTTCACATATTAATTTATAAAATACAAAACACGCTCAGTGTGCGCACATAGTATAGTTAGAGACGCAACTTATACGTCACAAATACCTAAGTAGTCCAAGAATGATCTGGCAGCTGCCAAACGCGTACAGGGTAAGACGGTGTACGTACGCTGGTACCATATGAGCCAAATATACACCCAAGCACGTTTTGGAAATAGGTTTAAGGATGTTTGGACAGTTGTAACAGTTCATTCAGCAACAAAAGTTTTATCAACGACAAGGCGAATGAATGTGCATAAGATCAAAGTGAAAGTTGATGGATTTGTGGATGCGGTGGGTGTTCCCTATAGCAAAGTGAAGGACCAGAGTCCTCAGTTATTAACGTTGGACCCGCCGATTGAAGATGAGGATCCTGCAGCTCCACGTAAATTGATTTGTGGCCCTCCACGTGACAATATTTCAAATATTATTTCTGAACGTGCATCGTTGCGCTTAATCCAGTTATCCAACCAACACCACAACAAAACCCAGTACAGACACTACAAAGCCCGTTCGCCAGCAATGGTCCGTTGCAACTATATCTAGATTTAAATCCAACGTCACTTATATTACCAACACCCGCTAACAATCAAGTAGCACAATCTGGGGCAGTTGCGTCTTCAACGACACCTCATGCAGCAACGACTACATCAACTGTATCAGCGCACGGGGTAGAATGGAAGTGGAATAACGTAGAGGTAGATGAGCGGACAGAATGAATTGTAAAATGGGAATTCATTTCTAACAACGAAACATTCAGGCCGGAAGATGGTGTCGCGCACGATACATTACAAGTGTTTGACAACTATGTGCGGATTATTCTAGCCTCACAAAAAGCAAAGACACTAAATATAATTTTTCTCTGACACCAGGCGTCGTTCGTGAATTTTAGATCACGTACAAACTGTTGGCGGAGCGATGCATTAGATCACGAGATGCACCCAGCATTAAACTTTGGTAGATGGATAGAGAGACGAAGATTTGATTGCATACATTCACATCTGAAATTTGCAGAAGAGACAACAGATAGTCTAAACCCGATGAGCCAGACACATAGGTGGTCAAAAGTCAAAGGCTTCGTCAAAGCCATAAATGATCATAAAGATCATACTATAAGCTGCGGAAGTGATATCTGTATCGACGAAAGCATGTCCAGATGGTATGGAATAGGGGGATCGTGGCTGTACGGAGGTCTTCCACATTATGTTGCCCTGGATCGCAAGCCAGAGAATAGCTGCGAAATCTGGACTACGTGTTGCGGTAGTGAGCAGTTTCGTAAAACCACTTTGCCTGCATCAACAAGTGGTAAGATTGAATGCAGTAAACCAGTTCAGACAGCCGAATCTGTGTGCAGCATCGTCCGGGATTGTACAAACTTTATTTCTGAGTCTCACAGTAAAAGTCCAGCGGTAGTTTATCGGTCACATGTGACAGAGGAAATCGAGGCTATGGAAGTTAGTAGACTTTTACGAAGATATACACCATACTCATTTCTGCTGGCAAGCACAGCTCTCACTTGTTACATGGAAATCTTCAGGTTTGTACAGAAGTATACGATTATTGAACAGTCCATTTTCGTTTTGCCGTGTGAGTGAACCTTGTTTTCTTCAGAACACAGTAATGCACTCCCATCGGACTGTATCTTGACTGGTGCCGAATCCGCTCAAGCAGCTGTGTTATAAACTATATTTAGAGCACACATATATGGAAATGACTCAGAAGGCACTGTCGGAGTCAAAATAAGGGAGAGAAAAGTACATTCAGACTACCAAACTCGAAAATCGGTGATGGCATTACATCTCGATGAGACATACTAAACCATCGCACTCATTCACGAGTAAAACTTATTTTTCGGGCCGACTCGCAATGATCCATCGACACTCGCCAACCATATTCAAATATTCTTACTATCGTCTGTCGGGGCTTGCTATTGTCTGTCGGGGGTAAGAAAATATCAATGAACCTTATAAGCCGGCCGGTAGCTAAGATGACTGGCATTCAATTACACGGGTATCTATTAGAGGCACTAAATAAGTGTGCAGGTACTTCTTTCTCGTCCGTACCTGTGGTTGTAACTATTTGTACTGCCCGATACTACTTTTATATCGCCTGGTCAACATCTGGCTTTGCCCCGACAGCGTCTGCCAGTATCTAGAGAGACCGGAATGACAGAGAAAAGATGTTTGCGAGTTTTTTTTTGTTTAATTCACATTGTTAAATTCATACGCAATTACATGCTGAGAAAAACCATGTCTTTGATTAACCGGAGCTTCGTCTGTCAGATGGTTGTGTCTTAACAGCTGGGAAGTGTAGTCTGAAACCTGTGCGTGCATTATGCACCAAATACAAGGATAAACTAGTGTCTGACATTTGAATCAGTTGCACTACTGTATGGCCGAGCAACTTAGAGTGACAACAGGTTGTCGCGGCACTGCCGCTCTCCTCAGACGAATTAAGTCTAGCTCAATGAAAGGAATTCGGAGTGCAAGAGCAATGAACGTATATATTTTTAGGGAAATACTCTTAATGTACATGGCCTACATGGGAAAGTCACTAAATGTACATACAAATTTACGAGTACGTTTTCTATTACCCAATCAAATTCTCTAAATGCGAGCTTCAATTCTTTTCTCAAATTCATTGGTCTTAATGAAAAACTGAGAGTACATATAAAGACTTCTTATGTACATTTAGTGACTTTCCAGTGCTGTAAATGTTTTGATGACAACAGGGTTCGACACCACTTCGGAACCTTTTCATAATACAAGGGTTCAACACCAGTTCGGTATTTTACATGGCCGCGTGTTTTATAGTGAATTTGATTTTTCAAAACCAGTCTGTGAAGAATCCTCCACGACAAACAATTACACTCATACTAGTATTTTTTTAAATACATGGCATAAACCTCTTCCACTGCAGACTAAAACTTGGAAAACTCAATAGTCTGTTTTTTAGCAATGGGTTTGCGGGCTAACGGTCGCGACCAGCAAAAAGCCAACTGTGACTTTCGTTTGACATCTGTTCACTTGATGTACTCGAAAGTTCATATCCAGCTGGATACCTCTCTCGTGTGACAGGCCTATATAAACGTACGGACTGTCTTTTATATGCTTCACTTTACTAGATTGAAACTACAAACAATATAAGACAAATAAACTAAGTCAGATTTAATCCGCCCACTTGAGTCGTACCAGTTAGGCTTTACAATTTGTCTTCTTGTTGCTTGATCTTTACTTTTATAAAGGTTCCTTCGATTGCCGCTATGGGTCGCAACGACAACTTCAATAATAACACAAAGCCCAAGAACAATGCTACTTATGTGCTCCGCTTCGACCCTGAAAGTCTTGTTGTTCCATGGGTCTGCAAGATTTATGCTTATGTTGAGGACACCCCTTTTCGCAAGCTTGATGACCAATACACTACATCTGGCCGGAGTGTCAAAATAAATGCACTGATGAAATACGTTGATCAGTCATCGTGGCACATTATTGGGCCATGATTAATACCGTCCACTGCTCCTCAAGAATATAGCTGTATAGGTATTGACAAGTTGGTCCCATGGTTAACATCTTTTTTAAGCCTGGCTATGATTTTCGTGTCTACTTCTTATGTGCCCCAATAGTTCGTGGTCCTGATGGCAACAGCCATTATCAAAACTCATGAAATCATTACATGTCCGAATTGCCATTATCCTCGGCCACCGTTGTAAACTGATAATTCAGCAGTCCGCTATGTACAGTTGAACCCCGTTTGCTCGTCTGCATTTAGAAGCTAAGGCTTTTCTTCCTGAAACACATCTGCGATCATTATCTTCGGATCTCTGATCAACTCTTCTTAATGCACGTGACATCTCCCGCGCTTTCAAAGCAGCAAAGTCAGTTTCTCATCCTCCCAATGGAGATGTGTGATATCCATAATCATCAACATTATAATACAAGGGCTCAACACCAGTTCGGTATTTTACATGGCCGCGTGTTTAATAGTGAATTTGATTTTTCAAAACCAGTCTGTGAAGAATCCTCCACGACAAACAATTACACTCATACTTGTATTTTTTAAAACACATGGCATAAACCCCTTCCACTACAGACTAAAACCCACTAGATCGAAAATACTATGGAAAAATCAACAGTCGGTTTTTTAGCAATGTTTTTACGGGCTAACGGTCGCGACCAGCAAAAAGCCGACCGTGACTTTCGTGTGACATCTGTTCACTTGATGCACTCGAAAGTTCATATCCAGCTGGATACCTCTCTTGTGTGACAGGCCTATTTAAACGTACGGACTGTATTTGGTAAGCTTCACTTTACTAGATTGAAACTACAGTCTTCTCGTCCACCGAGGCCCGTTGGTCCCTTTCGGTGGTCTTGTTTTTCTGATCGTTAGGTCGATATAGATTGCCATGACTCTTGCAATTCCTCAAGGAGAACTCAAAAGGTTGGTATGATGTATTTATTTGTCTGGGATGTTTATCAGGAGTCCCAGACACCTGAACGCCCTGAGATTTTTCATCCTGATTCTCGTACCAAGGCTTGGTGCTCTTCATAATTTGCCGGCCAAACCTAAAACTATCACCGATGACATGCTTATTTTTAGCCTCAACGAAGGTACCGACCGTGACTGTCGTTCAGTTCATGCCCTTTGGTGCCAGTTGTAAACAACCCTTTTTACATGGATCGTCTCTACAAGCTCTTCCGCTATGGCGCAGTCATCATCATTTGATTGCTGATGATTTCTTTATTTGCTTGGACAACCTTGAAAAGGTATCCTTCTATACCTTGCATAATTATGCAGATTTCTCTTATGCTGCTGCCGCTGTGGAATAATCATGGCCTCTTTAGGTTTCTAAGTTCTCTCCCCAATGACCGTCAAGACTGTGGTGACCATCGCCCTTGCAATCAAGACCGTGATCGTGACCGCCAAGACTACTCTCGTGTGTGTGGACAAAAAGAATCGTACGGAAGTTATGGTGGCTGGTCTTGAGACCGCGATGACAATCGCAACATGCGCAACCGTGACAACATTTCTAAGGTTTTCCGTTCATTCCCCTCTACTCCTGCCGTTTCTGATGTTACATTTTTAATGTTCGATGGGTATTACAAGTTTCAAACTATTTAAATAAACTAAGATACATTTTAAGGCGGTTAGACTTTAGCAGTGTTATCTTGTGTAAGAATGATCGGGACTACCTCTTGGTAATTGCCTTAATATCCTCGATCACACAGGACGTACCTCTATCTGTTCTTTATTGAATTTTATTCACTAAAAGTACTAAGTGTCTATGACCACATGCCTAAGTTGTAAATAGATATAAGAACGTAAGTCACTTTGATACTTTAGCTATCATAAATAGAGTTCCATCTGAAGAAAAGATAGAAAAAGAAAAAGACTTATTGATTGAATTTTGAAGAATAGCGGGAGGACCAAGAAGTAAAAATTTAGTTTGTAATATCCTACATCTACCGATGTCTCAAATTGAACCAAGTAAATGAGTCAAACCAATTGCTCATGCTATTGGAACCATCAAAGTGAATTGAGAACACTTTGTAAATATTGGAGGAGGAAAATTGTATTAAAATATTTAAATACAAATAAAAACCAATGTTTTATCTCACTTGGTCTTGAATCTTTCCTTTAATACTTTTCTTGTTATGTGCTAAACTGACGGTGGCACTATTCCAAATCTGGTGAACAAATCGCTTGCTATTTCTGAGGGCTT